GCAACCCTGAGTGGACGACTCTTTATATATCAGGTTTGTCTGATGTGCCCACATTTGTGTGTGTGTGTGTGTGTGTGTGTGTGTGTGTGTGTGTGTGTGTGTGTGTGTGTGTGTGTGTGTGTGTGTGTGTGCAGTGTGGAAGCAGAGATTGTGTGTGTGTGGAGAGGTGCTGTGTGTCGTGTCACTGCCGTCCTCTCCGCCTTCATGTGGACATGTTGGATTTGCAGCCGACTAACTTATCAGCCGGCCTTATTTTCCTCCCTAAGGGAAGCACTTAACATTCAGCGGCTCTTCCTTTTCTGCAGCAGACACAGATAGTCCTGAGCTGCTGGCAGGAAGGCTGCCGACGTGCCACGATCTGTCACCGTCCGTGTGTTTGTGTCCACCTCTGAGTGCGTGTGCATGCGTGTGTGTGTGTGTGTGGGAGCACACAGGTGTGTAGTTTTTATTTGGTGCTCGGGCGGGTCTATTGAGCAGTGGTCGGGAGTGCGAGTAATTGCTGATTTGGTTGGCCAGTCAATGACACAGACAGACAGAGATGAGAGAAGGTGAGAGAAAAACACATCTGTGATCCACCTGCCCTGACACTCACACACCCTGCTGGGAAAAATATATGCCTGCAGTCAGTCAAACACTCCTCCATCTGTCACACCGGATGCTGTGACTGCACACGCAAACTGCAAGAAGAGCTCAAAGAGTGGGGAAAATATGCAAACAAGGAGTAAAATCTCTGAAAAGATAAACACTTTAGTTTTAGATCAGGAGGTTTTCTCGACCACTTGATTTAGCAGAAGTCAAATTTGATTCCATTTTTAAATAGCAGTGATACAAAACCGCCTTACTGTGAGGACAGGGGCGTCAAAACAATTTGTCCTGTGGGGCAAAATTGTCAAGCTAAAAATTCTCATGATCCAAAAAAATAAAAAAGCAGTCTAATTTTTATATATATATTCTTTGTAATAGATGTTATGTATCCTAGAGCCAAAAATTTACATTAGTTTTACACATTTGGGGTACCAAAAGAAAAGCATCTAGTTTTCTGTTTCTTTTGGGCCCAATTAACCACATTTATGTTCCGTAATAAGAACAGGATTTGAGTTGCTTTCTTTTGATGCTAAGGCTAGCTAGCACACTGGAAAGGCGGTTCGCCCAGGGTGCCAAACAGGCAGGGACCGCAGCCGAGTGTGAAAAAAACTAAGGTGCAGTTTGATGCAGATCAGGTGTGAAACTCTTTGACATTCAGAGAGAAACTGCTGCGTAGTGAGACATCGGGGCAAGTGAAGATCTCCAGCCTGCCGCTGATGTCATTCTGAGCATGCTCAGTGATAACCACCTCCTTGTACCGTGTTGGGGTGATGCCAGCCGGGGAAATGCCATCTGTATGCCACACTCTCATCTCCCTGCCGCAAAATTGATCCACTATGCCCTCTTTATCTGCTTACCGACTCACACCTATGTTTGGATACACACACACACACACACACACACACAAAGCGATGTCTTGGCTCGCTGTAAAGGACTGTGTGTGTGTGTGTGTGTGTTTTAAAGTGGACACCCTCTTGCTGTATAAAAGGGATTTATGCATAGCTGGGTCCCTGAGTTTTTCCTGTTACGGTTTGATATGATAAGCCTTTTTTTATATGTTTAAAATCAATATGTAATCCTATGCAGGAGCTTATCCCTCTCCACACACACACACACACACGCCCCACGTCATTTGTAAATCTATTTGGGCTTTGTAACACATCGGGGCGGTGTGCTTCAGACCCTGATTGATTAGGTGCACTATGCAATCCGATCACATGGGCGACTTTTGATGATGTCGCCGACTCTTTCAGCGCCGAGTCGACAGAAACCGATGACAACAAACGTCTTTATGGGAAATCACAGAGCGCCTGTTATTAGTTAATGTAACATTAAAATTAGATATGATTGAAATCATTTGCATGTTGGATCTTTCAGCAGTGAACATTCTGAACAGGAGTTGAAATCCTGCAGGTCGTCCAGCTTCACGCCTGTTTTAAAATGTTTTCTAGATATCCAAATCAGATTCTTTCTTTACAAGAGAAAACAAACTGTAGCTGGTGTCAAGTTATAGCAAGGTTTTAAAATCACTTTTCTTCATATTGTTTCTACAGTTCAGTTTAAAGTAGAGATTTCTCAAATCAGTGAAAATTGTTGGTATAGTGCAGCATTGCACCTCCCCCACCTGTTGCTGTGGACTTACACATTAATAAGAACGGTGCTTGTTATTGTGTAGAAAATAGTTTCTTTTCAGTTTTGAGCAAAATAAATTACTGTTGAGCAGTTTTGTTAATTATTTTTATAAATACCGTAACGCTGTGGTATTTTTATCCTAACCTGAGAATCTCACACCAGCCCAGGTTTAATCTGATCTAACATCTGGATGACAATGTTCTCTGGATTTATCCTGGATAATAAAAATGTTCCAATCAGATTCACATCTATAAGTTGGAAAATCTTTCTATTCATGATTCTTGTTGATGCTTCCTTTTGTTTCCTAATAAGTTTTCTGCATCTAGCTGCAACGTTAGTGGAAAACTTTAGTTTCTCAAACACTCACTTATGCCTGCATCAGTAAAATTTACTTAAAAAAAAAAATATATATATATATACATATATATATATATATATATATATATAAGTGAAATTGTGTAAGTTACACCTTTGCTGAATGAAGACAAAAATGTTCTTCCCAGCTGTTTTCCATTGATTTTAATGTTTTAATGGATTTATGATGTGTAAAAATCTATTTAAATAATGGAAGTTTTCTATAAAGTATAATCTGTGAAGGCTCAACAAAAAGCACATTTTACACATTTAATTCTATTTCCTGTATCATTGATTTTCAATCATTGTTTCCAGATCAAAGCAGTTTGTATTCTTTAAAATAACTTAGTAAAAAGTATTGTCTTTCTAATGGCGTAGATTGGAGTGATGATGTTGACACTTTGTTTTCAACACCATTTTAAATGTTACAAATCTTGTTGCGTTTTCCAAACTGAATCGGTCATGGAAAAAAGTTGTGGTTTTGTGCAAAACTGCTGAACTTTTCAGGCCTGGTTTGATTTTTCTAAGCTTGAACTCCTGAAGATTCTACCAACAAACATTAGTTTTCCTCTCCGTTACGTTTCGCATGTGATGCAGCGGAAGGATCTGTTTTGATCTACCAGACGTTTTCCTTTGCCCGTCGTCTTTCTTTTCCTTCACTGACACTTTTTGTCTCCTGACTCCTACCCGGCCTTCAGCCAGCCGCAGCCTTGCGGGGCCTTTTTTTTTGTTTTGGTCATGAAGCGGGTTGAGGAACGACAGGGAATCCGTTGATATTTCAGCGCTTGTGGCTTGTAGAAAATTCTCAGGAGATCTCGGCTCCAACTGCTTTGACGTTTTGTCGTTGTGTTTGGTTTGAGCAGGAGAGCGAGGCAGGCAGCTGCATGCCGGACAGTCTCGCCGGGCTTCGGACCAGTTTGCGCTCTTGAATAAATTTAGCGGCGGTGAGAGCCGTGGGGTTGGGGGGAGTGGGAGGGGCGGAGACGAGGGTTTTGTACGGATTTAAACCAGCGCATTCTTGTGTGTGATGCCGAGGCTCACATGGTTACCACTGGCGCGCTCAGTGAGGTTCATCTGAACACCTCCTTAGTCCTGAACCTCCCACTACCTCCAACTCTCTCTCCCTCTCGCTCTGATGGAGGGGGCGGGGCTTATTGGGGGGCTGCAGGGTGTTTTGTTTGTTCCTCTGTCTCTAGTTACCCAGCCTGCCCCGCTCTGGTGTTGCCTGGTCACGTCTCTCATCGGCTCTTTTTATTGTTTACCTTCCTAATGAGGGGGGCGGGGCTCTGCTGGACTTGATTGACGCCTCTCCCTCTCCCCCCTCCTACACCTAAACACTCTTTAGCTCTTCCCCTTCAGGAATCAACCAGGGTTTGGCTTTTTGGCTCACCACTGCTTTGAAGGAGGAGAACATTTTTAAACCTTTGTGGTTTGGAAGGAAGTTTTCAGATGAATTTTTTCCTTCCCTTTCTGTGGGCTGGCGTATCGGGTGTGTGTGGGGGGGAGGGGGGGGGGCATGGGAGAGGTGTGACGACTTCCTGTCGCATAATTATCTAAACCTGATGACTCATCGAATTCACCGTGTCCCAGATAAGCCCACATTCTCTCCGTCCTAAATTACTGCTCGAGTCAAAAAAAAAAAAAAAAAAAACACAAACAGCGCTCAGATGCAAGTTTAGACACATTTCTGAAGAGTTTGACGACTCAGAGTAAATTTAATAAAGGCACTGCAGAAACACAACATGTCACAAACTATTTTTGCTCCACTTGCTGCTGCAAATGTCTTAGTTCACTTGAAATAAGACAAAACCAACTTGTATGTAACTTTTCACCAAAAAATAGGAGCTTGGGTTAATTTCTTAATATTGATGAAAACATATCAGTTCCACTGGCAGATTATTTCACTTATAACAAGACATTTTCCTGTGTTATAAGCAAAATAATCTGTCAATGGAACTAAACCCTTTTCATCAATATGAGGGATTATTGACTGAAAACAAGCTTCCATATCTTGCTAAAAAAGTTATTTATGACTGAGTTTTTTCTTGTGCAAAGACATTTGAGGTGGAAACGAGACCAAAAACATTTTGTGAGATTTTGTAATTTTGCCGGAAGACGCTGAGAGCCAAATATTGGGAGTGTGTTTGTTTCGCTCTATAGCTGACTTCAAAGGCACGAGCAGGGCCAATCAGGAGAGAGCAAACCTTTCAGGACCAACACACTGGGCCCAGCAGGACTCACACACACAGACACACACACACACACGCACACACACACACAGTCTAACTGCTGCAATTTGACTCAACAAGAGGGGAGTCAGGGGGTGGATATTTATTTTTAATAAAGCTCACGTATTTTAGGACTGACAATTCACAACATTCCTATTCCTCTGGGATCAATGTTGATAGAGAGAAGTTAGTCTACAGAAGCAGTGCGGTGCTTCAGCTGTGTTTGGATTCTCTCTGGGATGTGTGTGTGTGCGTGCGTGCGTGCGTGCGTGTGTGTGTGTGTGTGTGTGTGTGTGGGGCTGCAGAGAAGCCGAAGATATCCTGCTCTCCTTAAGCTGCAAAGCAGCCAAATAAATCTGCACACTCTGACGTTGGCGCTCTTCAGCCGAAGCGACTTCGGATCAGGGTGTGTTGGAGAAACGTGGAGGATTTGTTTAAATCACACAGAAACGTTGTGATGATGTTCGTGTTTTTTGGGGCGGGGTGGCTGGGGGGGGGGGGCTAAGGGAGGGCGTAGCGCTGCCCCCAGTGGTGCCTGAACATAGAGCCGAGGCGGATATTTGAGCCCCAGGGGGAAGTGGGTGCTCCCCTGTAGGCAGCCCCCCCTCCTGGGGGAGGCTGAGGGGATTTGGATCAGGTCCCACCTGGGCCCTGTGGGGCCCCTTCCTGGAAAGTCCCTAGAGAACTGAGGCTAGAGTCAGGGGGGTTGGGGGGCCTCACCTGCTTGTTTATTTAAAGGAACTGATCAGAAAACTAATTATTTTCACCCAAATCATCACTACAAGACTTGATGATGTCTTCATTCCCGCTGAAACACGAGTATTTCCGTTTGATCAAACGTTTTCAGTTCTCTGATCAATACCTGGACATCCACAGTGGCAGTATGGTCCTGTGGGAGCGTGGGTCCTTGTATCTCCATGCGTGTCAAAGCTGCACATCGCTGTGACGATATGCTTCAAGGACGTTTGCTCAGAATGGAGTGTGTCTCCACCGATCCTCAGCTCGGTCCAACAGGACGACCTTTGACCCGCGGGTTCACCGTTCAAACTCCTGAAGCTGGGAGTCTCTTTAAAGACGTTGGTTTTATAGAGATGCAGTTTTTTCCACTCGGTGTGACGTAACGTTTTCTTCCTTCAGGTGTCAAAAGTCTGAAGCTTCCTCTGATTTTTGCAGACTGGCAGAAAACTGAAGCCCAGAAGAGACGAGAGCAGCTCCTGCTGGACGAACTGGTCATACTGGTCAACAAACGGGACGCACTGGTCCGGGACCTGGACGCCCAGGAGAAAGAGTGAGTTACTTACAGAACAATCAAGAAACGTATGAAAGTGGTTTCAAGCAATCAGGGGCTTTCAAGGCCTCCGGTGCCCGTTTTTTTTTTTTTTTTTTTTCCCCCTCTGGTACTCCGGTCGATCCGACCCCACCTTTGGGGGTGGGATCTCTTCCAGATCTGTGGTGCCAGGAAGGGTGAAAGGTCAGAGTGTGGCCCCTGGCACGAATCCACCATGGCACTGCTTCATCCCCCCACCACACCGCAGCTCACAGGGAGCCGGGAGCACCAACACACACACGCACACACACACACCTCCTTCGGGACTCGTGACGTTTTGATGTTTGTGGTCCACAGGGCCGAGGCAGAGGACGAGCACCTGGAGAGGACGCTGGAGCAGAACAAAGGCAAGATGGCCAAGAAAGAGGAGAAGTGTGTCCTTCAGTGATCAAACCAACAAAATGTAGCCGATTAAAGAAATGTATCATCATGAATATCCTCACTTTTCCTATTGTTTCATAGCAGCTCGTAGAATTCTGACGAGGTTTTTAGTCCACTTTGACAAGCAGAGACTCAAACTTTGCACCAACTTTCTATCGAATCACAGTTTCCACTTTTTTTTCTTTTTTTTTTTGCATTTGAACTCCCAGTTATTAAAAAACAAAACAAAAACGGTACCGTTACGTAATATAAATATGTTTTCAAGATGGAGAGCGCAGAGCAGAATGAGGACACCAGAGGTACAACACAACTGGGTTTGATGAGGGGAACATTTCCCATCATCATCATCATCTTCAAATTTTTTTTTAAGAAGAAAAGAAACAAGACGTGATTTTTTTGAGCTTACTTGACATTTAGTTGCTTCACTTTATACTTGTAAAATATCTTAACTGCATTACTGTTTATAAATCTTGCATAAATCTTTCCTGTTTTTTTATTATTACTATTATTATTATTAGTATTATTATTATTACTATTGTCTTGGCTTGAAACCAAAAGAAATAGTTAAGAAAAAAAAGGTCATTGTATATTTCCTTCATTTTTCTGCTTTCTGGATCCTCCTTTGAATCCCCTACAGCCTGAACAACAGATATGTTTATTATTTATTGTTGCTTGTGAGTGAGTACTCTGTCACGTTTCATGTTTGTTTTGTTTTTTGTTTTTTTGTTTTTTGCTCAGCTAATTTTGGTTCCTATTTATTGTTGTTGGAAGAGGAGAGAAAAAAATGTTGCTTCCATTTGTATCTCTTAGAGCTCCACATGTCCTTTACCTGTGAACATTTATCTGATTATTTATTCCAGTCATAACCCAAGTCTCCAGTAATAAAGTCCTTATGATTTCATACTCCACAGCAGGGTGTGTGGCGTGTTTTATGTCACTCTAAAGCAGATTTAGGTTTTTTAAGGTGAGCATTATAGCTGTTTTATTGTTCACTATGATCTCAGCTCCACTATTTGTCTGTTTTGGGTTCATTTTGCACAATTTGTCAGCTGATGAAGTGGCCTTCATCAGCTTCCTTTCTTCAAATCTCCTGCTGTTTTATATAAATTTGTGTTGAGAATTTCACTCTGAACAGTTTCCACTGAAGGATATTTTTAAAACAAATCTTTTTTTTTTTCCTTTTTTTTCCCGGTTTCCTGAGCCGACCTGGAGAGAACCGAGAAAATTTTAGATCTTTTTATATTTACCTTTTTAAGATGACAGATTTTTTTTTAAGCTGCATTATTCCCTGATGTCAAACCGAGGTGACCTGTGAAACGTGTCTCTGGAAAACGGGGCCGCAGACGCAGGATGAGCGCGGGTTAACCCTCCGCTCCGTCCCCGCAGGCAGCCCTCCCATCCGCGATGAAAGCGGTGAAATCGGTTGTGACAGCAGACGTCCTCCTCGGCTTCTCTGATACTTTCAGATTAATTTGTTGATCTGTTTCTTCTCTGCTTGGGACCGACTTTTTCTTTTCTTTCTTTTCTTTTTTTTTTGCGCGCACATTACGCACGGTGCGTCCCCGGAGGCGCTTTGTTTTACACTCTGGCTGTGAGGACGTTAAAATAATACTCCACATTTAAAGTAAATTTAATCTTTTATAACTTGTTTCGGTTTTCAAACACTTTTTAAAATATCCATAATTATGGAGGCGGCAAACTGAACTTTTTGTCGAAGTTTTGAGCTCGGTTTGGTTCATTTTGGAAATTCACCTCTCAAATCTGCGCTCAAATCGCACACTTGGCAATAAACAAACGCCTGAAATGATTCTGACTTACCTCTGTTGCTCCACTTGCTGGTTATGGATAATTTATTAATGTTCCAGTTGCAGGAAAAAATATATATAAACGGGTGGGAAAAACATCTGGATCCTGTCTCCTTTCGGCGGGACCTTCGCTGCGTTTTCCCCCGACAGGTGCTGCGCGCCGCTCGGCCTCCGCAGCTCGCTGGGAGCCGGGAGCTCCAGAGCTCTCCGTGCGACGGGAACCCGGAGCTTCCCGCAACAAGCCACTCTGAGGTTTATGCATCATCGTTTTAATAAGCACCGACAACATCCCCGCAGATCCGAGCTTCTTCCAATCCTCCCGGCTGAAGGGACAAAACTTTTCAACCCCCCACCCCCTCCTGCTCTCCTCTGCTCCGCTCTAATCCCAGGCTTTACCAGCTCAGCATTAAGAAAATTCAACTGCAATTTGGGATTAGACAAAATGCTCTTATTACAAAAAGCTTGGTGCAACTTGATAACTTGATACTTGTTCAGGGGGGTTTATCTGGAGGTCTCACATCGAGAAAAGGAAGAGGGGAGAAAAAAAACAAGAAATGTGAGGGGAAATGTCAGAATAAGCCGTCTCTTTTGTGTTGGGAAGGCCATATTTGTTGAATGGCCTTTTTGCATAATTTAACGGAGCCTCTGTGTGTGTGTGTGTGTGTGTGTGTGTGAACAGGAGGGGTGCTGGTATTTGGATCTTTGGCGGGCCTCTGACTGCTTGGACTTCAGAAATAAAATGCAGAAAAGGTGCGGGGAAGGGTTTGACCTCTTTCAAATCACCTTTCATTTCTCCCCTGCTTCTTTCATGTCTGATTTTGATCTGATTTGATCCTGAGCGGCTGCGTTAAAAAAAAAGCCGCCTTTTAAGCATCACCACTGCAGGCCTCGACACAACCTGCAGCATTTATCTGTATAGTCAAAGTCCTCGTGCGTGCTCTGCTTTAACGCGTAAAGATGTAATTTCCACCCCTTCACTTGACTCCATTTTGTTTATTCTGCATTTGAGATCCGCGGGTTTTTTTTTTTCTGTTTTGACCTTCAACAACAAATGGACAGAAAATTCAAACGTATTCATCTTAAAAGGTTTTGCTTTTAAAAACATCAACGTGCTCGAGCGGCTGCAGCTTCTGCCTTTTTTTTTAACCCGCTTCCTCCGCAGTGAGTTGGAGGTCTTTTCCTATTAAACTTTACGTCAACCATCCTCAAATGTAATTCTAAATGGGGATTAAACCTCATTAATATTCATGAGATTTGTCTCTGTGTGTGAGTGTGTAGAGGAGGAAAAAAAAGAGAGGGAAAAGAGGGAGGGGATATCAATAAAAATCAAAATGGGTAAATTTAACTTCTCATCGCCTGGTTTCATCGCTCCACTTTTCTTTCTTTCTTTTTTATTTTTTAAAGATGGGAAATAGTTTTGCAAAGGAGATTTAAAAAAATAAACAGAAGTGGATTTGAGCCTCAAAGTGGCAAATTTCCCCCCATTATTTCTTCATGTTTGGTAGAAAAATCCCACATTTGCAGATGATGTGACGCTTAAAAAAACACAATGGCGTTTTCTGTCAAGAAAATAAAATCCCACATGTTCAGTTTTATTTCAAGTGCTCTGTCACCTCTTTGCCTGCATCTCCCTCTCGATTCAGTCCGTTCCAGTTTGCGCACTCACTCTGACTCACAGCGGAGCGGCAGGCCCGCTGCTGCTGCTGCTGCTGCGGGCCTCTGAATCGTTTCCATCTTCTATAAAAGCCTCCGAGCTTCTTCCCCCTGCTCTCCGGGATCTGTCCGTGGAGGAGGTGCAGCGGGAGGTGGAGGGGTGGGTGGTGGGAGAAAAGGGGGCGGTGTCCTCCCCTCGCCTCGCCTCTCCCTCTCCCCAATGTCTGCCGCCGCGAGCTCATTGGCGGCCCGCGCCGTCCGTCACGGCCGCAGCCACTCTGTGATTGGCTGCGGGAGGCGGATCCCGCAGGTGATCCTCCGCTCATAGAGGCGCGGGGCGGAGAGAAGGTGATCAATCTCCATCCGTCTCCATTAGAAATCACCTTCAACAGCCTGACAGACGACGACGAGCCCCCCTGAAAAAAGCAAATGAGTTTGATTTGTGAGGCCGTAAAAACGCCCGGAACCGCGGCGAGGACGCGCTGAGCCCGTCTGCGCCTCCTTTAAAAATATATATATATATATATATATATATATATATATATATATATATCCCGTGATGCCGCTGGCTTTGCGCACTGTTCGGTTTTGAGCAAGTCTGCGACTTCTTCGGCAGGCTTCCTCCTGCTGGATAATTTTACTCGCCTCTTGCGGTCCGAGGGCTCGGGAGGAAAGAAGGAAGGAAGGAGTAAAACAAGGTAAAGTTTTTATTATTATTATTATTATTATTTATTTCTCTCTCACTTTTAAGACTTAAACTTTTTTAAGTTTTGGCGACAGAATCTAATTCAATTTGCGTAAGAATCTTCCGCAGATATATCAATTAATACCGCAAAGTGAAGGACTTTCAGCTTCAGCCGAATCAACTTTCCTCCAGGAGTGCAGATAATTTTCACATTTCAATTCCAAATCTTCCCTTTGAGTTTTTTCTCCTCTTCTTTTTTTTTTTCTCTTACTGAGCGCAATTGGCCATTAAAGCGTGTGAAGCACTCTGTAGATAATTGGAGAGGCGTGTTTTGGTTTTTTGTTAATTTATTTCGCTGATAAGAGCCCTTGTGAAGCGCTCGCTCTTTCTCCCCGGAGGTCTAATCTAAATTCTAATGGAGTTCATTTGCACCGAGATGTCGTCCTCTCCTCTCCGCTCCTCTCCTCTGCTCCCCGGCCCGCCACGACTGCAATCCACGTCGGCTTGGCTGGGCTTCGGTTCGGCCAGTCAGGCCCCTCATTGTTAGAAATAGTCGCACTAATTTAATTTGCACTCTTTGCGCTGCAGGGCTGTGTTTGGGTTGAGATTTTTGCGGGGAATTATGGAGTCTACGAGTCCAAATTAGTTGTTTTGAATCTTTATCCTATCTAGAATTTATTCAAAGTAGAGTTGATTTAAAAATAACACCTTTCACGTTAATTACGTCTACAAAATTACAAATTTCTATGGACTTAAATGTGTCTAGTTTGCATTAATTTATTCTATTTATTTACTGCACGTTTTAGACGGATGCCTCCCTGTGTGTGTTTTAATGCAGATGGCTGCAGGGACTCCTGCTTGTGGTTGTAAACAACAAAGCAATGACCAGAAAAAACAAAGAAAATAATAAAAAATTAAAACTAAGGACCAGTTTCCAGAAAGGCTTCTGATTGCGTCATTAATATATCAAACGCATTCGTGACCTACTTATATTTCATATTAACGTGCAAGTGTTTTGTCAGAGCAGAGCTACTCAACACACACCATGACACACACACACACACACACTGGAGTTTGACTCGGCTGAGCTGCAGGGTTTTTTTTTCGTGAAAGTTTGTTTAATAGAGCATTGCATGCATTTTTAAAGAGTATTTTTTTTAAGTTGTAAATAGTATTTAAAATGGTTGCTGGGAAAATGCGTGCAAGATGTCGATAATTACAGCCATATAAATGGAAATAAATGCTGCTGTCGTCTAAGTAATCTAACCAAATTAACACGGAAATCAGAACTTTACATCTAAACCTGCAGGGTTCCTCCAGCACCTCTCTCATCCTCTTTCACTATTTAAAGCAGGAACATTATTATAAATCCTGTTTTTAAGTTGTTTTTAAGAGGTGAGATGTGGAGGCTGTCAAACGCACGTCAACTTTTCGTTTGTTTATTTTTCTCATGAAAGTCCTAATAAAACGACTAATACTTGTGTTTAAAGAGCGTGATGATTAAACAGTGCAATTTATCCTGTGTTTTATATCCTACTGCCATGGAAACATAAAAAATATTTATTTTGATGTTTGTAATTGTGCGTCTGTTTTTAATTGTCATTCAGCTCAAGTTGCCCAAAAACAGGACAATATAAAAATGTAATTTTTTGTAAGACCAATTAACGCCATATTTACGCTTAAATGTCAGGCAAATTTCAGACAAAAAGGCCTCGCTTAGACATTTTATTATTATTATTATTATTATTATTATTATCCTCTATGCAGTAACTTGAGTCGGTCCCCTGCTCCGTCAAGCTGCAGCATCGGGGGAAGCTGAACCACTGGCCTGAGCTGGGTGGAGCAGTGACCGCCTGTAGCATGATGTCCTACCTCAAACAGCCCCCCTATGGGGTCAATGGCCTGGGGCTGAGCGGCGCTGCCATGGACCTGCTGCACCCCTCGGTGGGGTACCCAGGTAGGAGCCCCGACACTTTGGTTAACGCTGTTAAACTGCTTGAGAACCGGCGAAATTAATTAAGCTAGCTGCTTAATTTAGCTGCTGTTCTTGCTCGCGCTATTTTTTATTTTTTTTCCCAGTGGAGTGTTTATTTGGGGGGAAATGTAGGTAATGTCTGAAAAAATACACTCTAAGTTTATTTAAAATGTTCAGGCAGTGGGACTGAGTTCAAATGAAACTACTTGGCTGCACTTTAGCCAACTCGGCTTTTATTTTCCACTCCACCGGAGTCAACTTCACTACACATCTGTGGACTGAGTGTCCAGCGTTTGCTCACCGTATTTCGTCCTTCTGGGGCCGCGCCTGTTTCCCGCAGCGACTCCCAGGAAGCAGCGAAGGGAGCGGACCACGTTCACCCGCTCGCAGCTGGACGTCCTGGAGGCTTTGTTCGCCAAAACCCGGTACCCGGACATCTTCATGCGGGAGGAGGTGGCGCTGAAGATCAACCTGCCGGAGTCTCGAGTTCAGGTGAATTGAAATCAACATCCCGAACTGAGGAGGTGGGATGAATAATAAAAAAAAAATTATAACAAACATATTTTATTATCGCACCCAGAAAAAAAAATGCTGTTTTAATATTATTGATAAATTGTAAAAAGCAGAAATTAGATTATTTTTACTGTTAGTGACGTCATTTAATCCAGAACATTCATCGAGTAATCGTTACCGTTAGCCAGCTAGTTTATATCCTAGATTATCTTTAATATTTTCCTAATTTTCACGCACAAAAATGTCACAGAATCCCTTCTCTACACATTCTTAAAACAATTAATAATTAATTACTAAAATCTGAGAAACCTGAATGAGGAAGCTTTTTTTTTCAACAGTATTTTAGATTAATTTTGTGATTGGACAGTCTCTGAGTCAAGTAATTAGCCACTAAAGCAATAAGAGCTTAACTTATGACTAAATTAATTAATGGCAGTAAAAGATTGGCTCATTAGTTAATGGGAAATGTTACTGTAACCACTTTACATCAGAGGCTATAGATGTGGATTATTATGCTGGGGGATTGGTCTACCTGATTTACCTGCACTGCTTTAGTTTAGCTAACAGAAAAACTTCATAATATCCTGCAGATTTGTTCATGAATGCTCATACTTTGACAGTGTATTGGGTCTATATATTTTAAGCAGGTTGATGTTTGCTGTAATTTGATCTGAAATGCAGGAAGAATAAGACGTTTCCCTGGAAATACTGCACACACATTTAAGCGCTGCAGCACAATGCCAGACAAATACTACTCTTAACAGGCATAATGGGGGGAACCGAGGCCGCTGTCTCACAGTTTGAGTTATTTTCAGAATATGTGTGTGAAACAAAATGCTCTACAAGATCCTACCCTCTCAGTGCTCTAGAGTTACCCCACTGTGTGGTGAAACTCAATAGCCTGTTATCTTAGAGCCGTCTACCAGGTATGAAATTAGACCCCTGGCTGATCCAAGCCAAGGGGCCGAGGTGGAAATGAACCTTGATGGATAATAACCCTCAATTTTCCTCCATAATGTACTCCCAGCATGGCCTAGGAGTTTTTCCCTTTATTTGTTTCATGGTGGTTGGTAACTCCCGCTTGGTTTGTGTGTGTGTTTTTTTTTTTTTGCGTGCATTTTTGCGTACAGGTGTGGTTCAAGAACAGGAGGGCCAAGTGTCGCCAGCAGCAGCAGAGCGGCAGCAGCACCAAAGCCAGGCCGCCCAAGAAGAAGTCCTCTCCGGCCCGGGAGAGCACCGGCTCAGAGAGCAGCGGTCAGTTCACCCCACCCGCCGTCTCCAGCGCCGGCTCTTCCTCCTCTTCCACCTCGTCCACCAACCACACAGGCCCCGCAGCGCTCAGCAGCACCTCTACCTCCATCAGCACCGTCTCCTCCATCTGGAGCCCTGCCATCTCTCCAGGAAACGCCCCCGCGCCTGCCGTCGCCCCGCTCCCCGAGCCGGGACCCCCGTCCAACGCCTCCTGCATGCAGCGGTCCATGTCGGGCTCGGCCGCCGCCGCCACCTCCTACCCCATGTCCTACAACCAGACGCCAGGCTACGGCCAGGGCTACCCAGGCCCCTCCAGCTCCTACTTCAGCAGCGTAGACTGTGGCTCCTACCTGGCGCCCATGCACTCCCACCACCACCCCCACCAGCTGAGCCCCATGACGGCCTCCTCCATGTCCGGCCACCCACACCACCACATCAGCCAGTCGTCAGGGCACCACCACCACCACCACCACCAGGCCTACGGCGGCTCTGGCCTGGCCTTCAACTCCTCCGACTGCCTGGATTACAAAGAGCAGACGGCGGCCTCGTCATGGAAACTCAACTTTAACGCCACGGACTGCTTGGACTACAAAGACCAGGCCTCCTGGAGGTTCCAGGTCTTGTGATCAGCTTTTTAACGTTTTTTTTTTCTTCTTCTTGGCTTCTTTTCCTGCTGCCCCCTCTTCTATTAGTTTGTTGCTTGTTATTAAAAACAAAGAGTTTATGAACCATAACGACATGCTCAGCAGTCGAACTGCTCTTCTCCCCACTTGTCCTCCGTATGATAGAGAAAAAAACGAAGAAAAAATTACAAAAAAAAAAAAAAATCCTGTTGAGCATCAGGAGCAGCTTTGAGGCTATTTCTAAAAATTTGGAGGAGCTTAAACTGTTCTACAAAACACGACTCGGACAAACTCCTTCGACCACCAGCCCTCTGGATGGGAGGAATATTTTCCCCTCCGTTGCACTGACGGGGAAACAAACTGCCCTCCTGCCCCTTTTACCTCCAACCCTATCAGATTCTGTACAGTTTTTATTTCTCAAATTTGTTATTTTAGGACCACAGAGATTTTTAGTCAGCTGCGTCATGGAGCTGAAATATGTAAATACTATTTGGGTCAGTTACAGTGACCATGTTTAGTTTTTTTTTTTTGTTTTTTGTTTTTTGTTTTCCTTTTTCTGAATTTAAAATTGTTTATAACAACTTTGGGAGAAAAAAAAACATGCTATGTAAATCTTTCTAAATATTCCAAAGATGATAAATTGGCCATGAAGTTGCGCTTTTTCACATGGGATTTTATTCAGAAAAAAAATACTTAAAAATTTTCGATGTCTTGGATTTAACAAAAGGGGGAAAAAGACATCTGACCGGATGCAGACGTTATTCCAGCCTCTACATTTTCCAACCAGATCTCCTCTCTGGAGCATTGTGGTGACACTGGACATGTTTGAACCGCAGCACTTGGCTTAATTGTGGGGTCAAAGTATTTTTTATTTTATTTTTTATTATTATTATTATTATTATTATTATTATTATTATTATTATTATTATTATTTCTGGAGGGAGGGGGAATGTGGATTTAATGCTCCAAAAGAGAGTGAGATGTTGAATGTATCTTAAAGGCAACCACACTTGCATACATGTTCATCCAATAAAGATCCCTTAAGTCCAAATTAATTTTCCATAAGTGGATTCTGTCTCAGTTTGACTCCCAGCGGGGAGGTTTTTTTTTTTAATATATAATTTATTTATTTATTTATTTATAGATGCTTGTACATCCGAAAATTACAAAATCCACACTGCTGTTTTCTCTCATTTGAACTAGTCACACTTTTATTTAAAGGCTTGTTTATTTTGTTTCTCTCTAATTATAGCGGGGTAAATGCAAATTAGTGCGTAATTAAAACAAGCCTTGAACGCATGTAGGGCCCGCATTTCCATTTTAGAGAACGGATGTTTAATCCTCTCTGCCTGCCTTAAATTGAAACACTAACGTCTCTCCTTGCTTTAGGGAGGCTAATGGTATTTATTTATTTTTATTTTGACTCTGCCGTTTAAAGAAAAAAAAAAAAGCGAAGCCGGAAGACATTTGATCGAGGCGTAATTGAATGCAGCGCAGTAATTGCGTGATAATTACTCCTGGTTTCTCCAAAATAACCCGCAGGAATCTCGGGGCCTCTGATGCGGTAATTACGGAGGTGGGGCCAGGTTAGGGGGGTCACATGTAAGAGTGTGTTTGATGCGTTTATTCTCACAGGCAACAGAAAAACGGCGAGAGGTAACCATAATAATAATAATAATAATAATAATAATGGTGTCAGGAGGCCGCAGAGAGACGAGGAACCTTTTAATTCATGGGTGTATTAACAAAGCAATTTTTTTCTCTCCTCAAACTTTTTCTCCTGCTTTTTTTATATTTTTGACAAATATGTTTATTAAGCATATTTGACTAAATGCGCTTTATAAAGTTATAATTAACTCTGAAGATATACATTTTTAAGGATATGTTTTTTTAAACGATTATAACAAAAAAAGGTTAAACTACCTTCCTTAATTTCTAGCTAAATTACGCTTTTCAAAACGCTTTAAACTAAACAAAAAGTCACGAGTAAGAGTTTGCGTCGTTTTTAAAGGCCAAGGAGCTGAAAAAAAAACTTTAAATCTGATCAGATCAGCGGCCTGATCGATCCGGGCCTCTCTGCCTGCAGGGAGAGCGTCCAGCTGCTGCCCTCGCCTCTGTTTATGTAGATCAGATTCGCAACAGCTGAATAAATATCGGCCGAACTGGGAAACATCAAAAACGTGTTTGCGTCAAGACGCGCAAACAAGCGCTGCGCAATGTCCACCAACAGCGGCGGATTTGTTCGGATTTGCATCAAACAAACATTTGCGGATCAATCTTGCGCGACTCGTCTGAGGAGTTGTGAGGAGCCACAGGTTCTTCATGAGGCAGCTGCGACCCAGGAGTAAAGAAACCAAAACAAAACAAAAAAAGGGATCAGGGTCAGAAAGAAAAGGATGGATTAGCAGCTTGGTTGAGAAAAAAAACACTAAGTGTGAAATATTTGAGAGAATTATTCCACAGAGTAAAGTAAAAAAAAATTTTTGTATTACTTTTAGTGTTTTACGCGTTGCAAGGAATTAGTCAACCAGATTAACCTTCATCTAAAATACGTTTTAAAATGAATAAAAATGTGAAGAATTAGATTTTTGAGTAAAAATATATTACATCCATATTTTAGAAAAATAAAATAAAATCTTGAGTCGTTGTCTGTCCGAAATAAAGAAAAAAACTAAACCCTTATGTCGCCACTGACATAAATCAAACAGAAATGACAGATTTTTTAAAAGCAACTTTATTTCCATAATTTTGTTTTTCAACTGTTAGACACAAAGTCATCCTAAACTCTTAATCTAAATTTGAAAAGTTATTTTTATGTCTTGCTTTTTGGGAAAGTTGTGAAAAAAATGTTAAAGCGATTAAAACAAAACAAAGGGTGGGGGAAGTGCAAATGTTTTGTTGTTGTTGTTGTTGCCATCAGATATTTTCCTTTCACTGCCTGATTCATCAGGTTTCACCACAAGATGCTGAAAGCAAAAGTGGAAACGTCAGTTCTGACAAAACGGCCTCGTCTGAACCCTACAAAGCAAAAAGAGTGAGAACAAAAACCATCTTTACAAAAGCTGCTCGGCTGACGACGCCGTCAGCTCACAGCGTTTCTCACTTGGCTCCAGCTCTGCTCCTGGCAGCAGCATCCATGTTGTTTTAGGGCTTTGAGAGGGTTTAAGGTGAGGCTGTGTTTTCAAAGCGGCCCGGCTCACCACCAGAGCTTTTGCCAGAGTTACGTTAATACAGATTCTCCTTGCAGAGAGCTTGAGACGTTAGCTGGTCCTGCTGTATGTGAATAGGAGGTCAGTGCTTTAACTTCAAACTCTGCTCAGTGACCTCATCGATTGCTGTTGGCCTGTTGTTAGCCATTTAACCCTTTGGCCTCTCCTCCACATGAAGTTGTGGACTGGAACCTGCTGACATTTTGTTCACACTTTGACCAGAAGATGAACTGGATCCAGGCTGCATTATACATTTGCATCAGTGCTTATATTTCTATAGAGAGGCATAGAACGAAGACAAAGCCGGATCAATCCACCGGTATTTTGGGTTTTGCGAGATCTGGAAGGCCTCGATAGTGGTCAGTGTGCTGGGACCATTTTCTTCTATTTCCACACTCGTCTTTCATTGACTACAGCACTGAGAAGCAATGCAGAGGATTATATTTACCTGAGAGGTTAATCTGGGGTCAACTGTACAGCAACGTGGGTGTAGACCAGGCTGCCGTCTCTGGTTTCTTTGCTTTGTCCGACAAGGTTACCTACCTTTTTCCTCGATGGAAGCACGTTTCTTTGGTTCTCTTTTGTGGTTTCTTTGCTGTACGTTTCAGAAATCACAAGACCTCTGGAGTCCAGACTTAACCAAAATGAGAAAAAACCAGAGCAAAGTCTAACAGTTGAAGTTTCCAAAAACCTCCAGGAGCATTCATGAAACTCCTGGTAGGGTTGGTACTCGCTACATATGATTGAGAGGATGAAGAGTTGGAGTGTTTGTTGTTTTTGTCAGTTGGGAGGACTTAAAGGAATTTGGCTACCTGATCCTTAAAGTGTGCTGGGAGATCTGGTCTACTTACACCAGACAGACCGGTTGCTTTGTTGGACAAAACTGTACCTGATAAATGGTTTCCAAATGGTGTGACAACTTCTGCAGCTTGATTACCGTCAGGTATTCTTCACCGCCGAATTGTTACAGGGATTTGACAAAAAGTCTGACAAAAACATCGTGGCCTACAAGCTTTTGATTGACGACGGTGACCAAAATAAAACATGTTAACGTGGGCATTTGAACACAAACTACAAAAGAAAAAAAAAAAGCCAATCATGTTGCCTTGGTCAATGCCACAAGTGTGAAAAGAAAAACAGCATAGCTCTAGCAAGTTGTTGAGACACACTTTATCTGCCCTAAAACCTGATGTTGAGCAATTCCAACAGCTTCAGGGCAAAAAATGCATCGGTTCTGAAGTTGGTAGTCACGGACAAAGTGCTCTGCATATTACAGAGCCTACGGTCCTTGCTATCCTGCTTTGGATGAACAAGAAGGAACTTCAAAATGTCACAGATTAGCCTGATTTGAACTAGACTGGTAAAAAACTAGCCCTTGTTTGACGTTTTGATTCATACAGAGGGTCTGGATCCTTGGCTACTGAGAAATGATTGCTTCCTGGAGGCATGGAGTCTGCTGAAGTTTTAAATTTTATCCAATCACTAATATTTGCCCGTGATTTACATAATGCGCCATTTCTCAACGTTTTCCGGAAGTTGTCTGTGTTGTAAGCAACAATCCTCCAATGTGAAGAGAGAAGTACAGAGCAAAACAAAATGGCTGTTAATGTTAATTCAATATTCATAACTTCTCCTTATGTTCACTGACTGACCTGGAGAAAACTCTACCAGAGCAATCCAACTCAATGGGAGAAAACCCAGAGGGAGTACTGAAGGGAGATGAGAATTGAACAAAATAGTGTAGGAAAGGTAACAATCAGGCCAAATTTGAACCATAAACTAACTTTACGAAAAGACCCGACACATTTTCCTGCATAGTAGCAGTGAAGCTAGCTATTTCTCCCCAGTGCATATTTTGTATGTTAAAAAGCAAAGATTGAGCTCTTTAGCATTTTCAGTCATTGTACATGCTAATGTTTTAGCCACCTTAGAGTGTGAATAAGAGGACACCAGAATAGTCTTTAAAAATGTAATCAAAACGGTGATAAACACATTATCGTTGACGTTCCTTGTTCAAAGACACAGCTCAAAGCATTCACACTCATGCCAAACTGTTAGCATGCTAACCACAGATGGAATCAGATGGTAGAAACTTCCCAGAAGTTCAAACATGGGGCAGTAAAACAGAAGTAAACAGCTGCTCTAAGGTCAACGGAACCATCAAACAACTTCCTTCCTCCTTTGCTTCACCTGATGGGAAAATCAGACTAACTGGTCTGGCAGCAGCGCAGCAGCTCTCTGCGGTTTCTAAACAGACCACTCCCTTCAGATGATGGCTGCTTGTCCTGACGACTTCCTCGCTTCCCAGTCTCCTTCCTTGTAAAATCAGTCGCATCTTGGCGAGCAGGGATGGATTAGGAAGGTATTTGAGAGGAGTTATCTCATCTGAAAGGGATGCGGCAGACCCTCGTCCCAACTTGTCTTCCCCACTCTTCTAGATCTGGGAGAGCTTAATGGGGGCTTGTTGGCCCGCGGGCCTTGATGTTTCACACAGAGCCTGTGTGAAAACCGATTACCACTTTTCCTCTTCCAGTTCATTTTCTCTTCGGTGACAAATGTATGTTTACAAAGGAAGACATCTGAAATCATCCAGCCTCATTTATGACCTGATCTTCAGAAATTATACAAATCTAAAGTTATCCAACAATAACTGTAAATAAATAAGGGAGTAAATCATTGGCTATAAATGAAGAAGAAATCTGACTTTATTAGCTATAAAATGATTTGGAGGAAAATAAATATTCATTATGTCCAATTATTTGTGTCCTTTCAGATTGACAAGAAGACATTTTTTCAATTTAAGCTACTAAAATCGCTACTAATGGCAAAATAATACCGACTTATTTGAACTCAAATTCAGTAAATCTGTCTATTTGATGTCTAGAATGGCCCTGACATTCTTTCCTATGATATTTCGTTAAATCTGAGTCGTGCCCATCAGAAATAAACCCATAAGTGGAGCCCTGTCCGCCCTCAGGGGGAGAGGGTGTTGGTCCAATCAGGGGGGGCATCATTAGGTGCTAAGGCTTCTGCAGAAACTCTGCACAGCTGTTGCACTGAGGAGGCAAAAAAAAGAAAAAAAAGGCAGATAACCTGAGTGCTGGAGGCTTGATTCGTTTCCAAAATGTTAACAAGGCCGTTTCGCAGCTCCAGCACCCTGCGCAGTATGTTAATACCACTAATAAGCCTATCTCTGCAAGTCATCACGGATGGCAAAGATCTGAGGCAGTGTTTTACAATAAAGCTGCTGGCCGCGTTTTAAATGAAGCATTTGTGATTTCACAAAGCCGACATAATTGCTCAAAGGGGTGACTGAGGAGACCGTGTGGTACCCTTACTTTGTTTTTTATTATTATTATTGTTTATTATTATTTATTATTATTATTATTATTCGTCTGTGTTACATTATTTAATTTGGTGTGATGAGATTTCACCGTTTGTGTGTCAAACATGTGACGGCGCGGGGCATTCAGTGGGGGGCGGGAGAGAGCGGCTCGCCTTTTTAGGCAATTTTGCAGCTTTTCTCGAAGCTGTCACGTCGAACAATCGGCAGATGATGCAGTCTTGGTTTGTAAATTATAAACGCGTCAAGAGATGCCGCGCGCGCGCTGACAGATGCCACTTATCGGCAGCTGCCTCTGCAGTGTGACTGTATCATCGGAGGGGAAACATAACAACATCCTGATGTTTACATAAGAGAAGTATTAGTATCAGTCACAAATGTAATTCCTTTCAGCTTTCCCTCGCTTGTTGGATTGACTACCCGAAAAACATACAATGATTTTTTTTAAGCCAACAAAACAAGAAGAAGAAAAAAGAAGCAGAAAAGCATCCTTGTTGATCTTCTGTCCATTTCCAGCATCACTTCTTATATGTTTTTTTTTTTTGTGGAAATCCTCTTAGAATGCAAAGTAAATAGATTACGATACAGTGAGGGATTAGAGCTCGCGCGGCGCTGTCAGATTAGTCGGCGAGAGCAGCGCGTCGACAGCTCTGACACGGCTGTGGCTGCTGTTCAGGAAAGGGGCTCCGGCTCCGCAAGACGGATGCTTTAAAGGCGCTGCCTGGCTCCCGTTCATGAATAAAACTGCGGCCGTAATCTCGGCCAAAACACACACACACACACACACACACACACACACACACACACACACACACACACACACACACACACACTTTTACATTCACAGACACACATGCAAGAGGACACTTGCAACATAAACTACCAACACAAAAAGTCTTTATTTTATTCAGGTTGGTGAGTGGCAGGTTTTGATGTATTTGTAATAGAAAAACTGTTCATGGTTTTATTAGATGCTGTATAAAAATGAATTAGATTAAATATTTTTTTAATTGTGCACCTTCCGTTTTGCATAAATAACATTTCAGATAAGCATCCTTCTTTGCAAATAAAAACATACATCTATTGCGAGACATAAGGAGAATATAATAGTATATTGTCTCCTTTAGGGAATAAAATCCTTTTTTTTATTCAAACCATTCCTAAATGAACTACATGGAGCATCCCGGGGTCTTCGTCATCCTGGAAGAAGAACAGAAACACCATTTATTGTCGTCTGACATGGATCAGTTTACTTTCATAACCTCTTAGTAGTGTAGCATGAACATGCAATTCCAGTTATTAATTTTGTTAGGCTAATAAATTAAGTGCATATAGTCCAAAAAATCTCAACTGTGGTTTTTTGTTCTTAGAAAACGAATAAATGATTCAAAGTTGGACATTTTTCTACAAAAACCTAAAATGCCGGCTGCATAAAATGAATGGCCTCATGAAGTGCCTAATATGAGGAACCAATGCAGAAAGATGCATTATATTAAAATTAAATGAAAAAAGCTTAAAATTGATTTGTTTTAGCTTTACATCATGTTCATCAAAAACACACTGAAGTGTTGCCTTTTTTTCTTTCATGCATGTTGGAGAAATCCATTAAATCCTCCCATAGAAACCATTCAGCTGTACAAACTGCCTCAGTGGACCCAGCACCACCCCGAGACTCCTCCACTCAGCTCCTTCAGACTAGCCAGCAGCAATTAGCAAACACCTGATGAAACTGCACATCTGCTGAGCTCATTAAATGAACTAATTCTCAGTGAAACACTGGTAAAAATGTCGTTATCATTTTTAATAAGAGAAGCGCTGTTGTCATGACGACCTGAAGACAGTGTTTCTGAACGATCAAGAGTTTATACAGAGACAGAGGTCTATTTCAAAACATTATATACTGCATTTTGTAACAACTGAAGAGAACATAGTCACTTGATTGAGTTATAAAATTGCACTATGTGCCTGGAAAAAACATAATTCTGCCCCTTTAAAAATAGTGAACAATCTTGTTTTTCATGTTTTTTTGTGTTTTGCTTACTATCTCTTCTCTGTCTCAGATATAAACGCGCACATGTGGCGTGCAAACCATCACAATAATGGCAGCGCTGGTGGAGGTTTAATTTGTCTAAGTCCATTAAGAGACTAAAAGTTGTTACTGTCAGGGTTTTTATGCCAGGGTCATTTTTGTTACATTTAAATTCTCTTTTTAAAAACAGAGTTTTGATTCTCATTTCACAGTCCTCATTTTTCTTTTTGAGTAAAAGACAGCAGATCATAGTGAATGTTGTGTACAATATGTCCGTTTTGTAAGAAAATAACTTGTTTGGAGAAAAACAGATAAAAGAAAACATTTGTGTGTGATTTACTTTAGCTGTATTTGTTATTTAACAGTTTAAGTTAATGATCATTCCTTATTTAGCACAATGTAGCGTTCTATGCAAACCATACAGCAGAAATGTCATGACAGATAAAATGATTTGAATTTTGACTGCGTGTCACTCAAATTCATATGACTTGAGACTTGACCTCAACTTGCAAACGACGACTTGTGAACATCTGTCAGTCTACTTACGTTCCCTCCTTCTCTGTTGCCTCCACTGCTTCCTGGATAAACAGAAGCAGAAACAACATAATGTGGCTGCTGTAGTAACAGTGGCACTTCAACAGTAAACAGCTCAGATGTTTGCTCAGAGAGTCCGGCATGTCGTCTTTCTGGCTTTTAACAAATGTAAATAAAAAAATAAAAAAACCTTGTCATTTATGGTGATCTCCCTCTCTTTGAGCTCAGCGCTAATCAGGTTGTGATTGACATTAAAACCCCAGCATGCCTTAAACAGAAGACGCCGATGCTAATGTTTTCCTTCAATAGCCTACAGTCTGGATTATAGAGCGACAGAGCGATTTGGTGCTGAGACAATTGCAAATAAAATGGAATTATTAAAATGTAAAGAGCAGCGAGGAGATGATGAGAAGTGATGGGGTTTTTTTAATGGACGTTCTTCTAAGAGACCGGTTAGTGAGCTCAGACGCTTGAAAGCACTGAGGCCAAGTTCAGAGAGCGGTACAAGCAGAAATATCGCTTGAGAAGTGTTGGTGTGCGAGCAATGAGAGCTCTCAAAGTCCTCAACAAGCATCCGCACATCACAACCAGCGGTCATAATTAAACATCGCTTAGGTTGAGACAAAAATATTTGCCACCTTTCAGACTTTCTTGCACTTACATGTTTCAGATCATCAAACAGATTGAAAATATAAGACAATGACAGACAGAGGAAATGTAGGGAGCAGCTTTTAAGTTTCAAAGCATCATGTGGAGCACCGATGGCCTGACTTTCCCAGAGTTCATCATTTAACAATAAGACAAAAAAAAAAAAAAAAAAAAAAAAATTCGGGGGGGAAAATGGGGGAAAAAATTCACAGCTGACCAAAAGATCCAAAAGATTGTCTCACATTTACCAAAAAAAATAACACCTTGATTTGCTGCACTTTGGGGAAAATATTCTGTAGACTAACAGATTGAAATCGGGACTTTTTGAAAACAAAATGAAGGATTTGGACAGTCCTAGTCCAAATCTAGACTTTAATCTGATTGAGATGTTCTGGCACACCATAAACAGGCCAAAGGAATGGAAAAACACTACTAGTTTTCACAGATATCGTTTGAGGCGAATCTTTGTTTGACATAAGCATTTGTTTGATGATCTGTAACAATTATGTGTGGCAAAAAAGGTTAAACTGAAGAAATATGTAAGGGGTGAATACGTTTTCAAAGCATTGCATACTGCTGTGTTTGTTTGAGCTGCAGTTTTGTTATGTTGTGGTTCCGACCTGCAGACGACCCACCTGTCTGTCTCAGCATTCTGAGCAGATCTGGACTGACCGCTACATGGATGGACTCTGGTCTCCTTGGTCTGGTCAGTTCATCGGCTCTAAAGAACAACAACACAGCACGATTAGTTGTGTACACATCTGTTAAAGTCAGAACAATTCAAATTCAAACAATTCAAACAATTCAGTACCTGGACCAAGCCAAGGAAAATGCTGGTCAAACCATCTAAAATGTCAGTGGTCAGGAAAAGAACATCCATCTCGACAGGAATGTGTTTCAGACTGTTATGTCACTTTACTAAGCTTTTTGATTATATCAATTCTGGGTACATTGTTGGAGGAAAGTTTGGTGGATGGAGCCAGAACTACAGGTGTGACAGTGAAGCCTTTAAACTGGTCAACAGTCCAAACATTTAGAAAGAAAATTGATATTTCACTGATAATGTTCTTACAAAAGACACGGTTTGAGTGTAAATCAATAAAAAATGTTATAAAGACACAAAAGAACCAGCAACAACAAAGACAAAAACTGTAGGAAGACAGAGATACAAATGGACAGCTGTTAACTGATTTGTGTTTGAGAGAGTTTATGAGAACGCTTCACACGAAGTGTTGCCAATAGAAATCAGTGGAGGAATCTACAAAGAAATAAATAAGACAAAAAACAGAAAGAACGAGAGAAAAACAAAAAGAAATAAAACAGACAAAAAGAAAATCCAAAAGAAAGACAGAAAAATGAAGAAAAATAGACAGGAATAAAGAAATAAGAAAATGACAAAGACAGAAAGACAAAAAACAGAAAGAAAGAAAAGAAACCAGACAGAAAGATGGACTTTGATGCTGGTTGGTTGGTTGATCAGTTGCTTTGTCTGTTGTTCGTTGTTTGATCAGTTGCTTGGTCGGTAGGTTGATTAGTTGGTTGGTTGGTTGGTTGGTTGGATGGATGTGGTTCCACTCTGTAGTCACTCAGACTGTGATCTGTAGTTCTGATCGACTATGTGTTCTTCTGTGTTTCCAGTTACAGACCCAGGGACCAGTTCAGCCTCAGTACCTGAACTGGTCCTGAACATATTTACCTAGTTTACCTCCTCATCTGTAGTGCTCTCTGATTGAGATGATGCCTTTACCATCAGCTCAGATTTCCTGATGTTAATTTCAGGAGCCGGAAGTTGTTTATCAAACTTCACATCTTTGTGCCCACAGCAACCCCCTCTGTAACGATGGATTTTCACTCTCCAGGTTGATCAGAGAGTGAAACCATGTCGTAGCTCCTTGTTGGTTCTGAGCCTCACAATAAGTTTGGCCTTCACTGAGGGAAACTGCCAGGCGCTCCCAGTCTCTGCACTCCTCTGTCAGAGGAGTGTGTGGTGAACAACAGAGGCCAGCAGCCATCAAAGGAACATTGGGAAGCTTCCCAGACTTCCGTCTCGTTGTCTCTCGCTACTGTGAGCGTGGAGTCAGATTTGGAGAATGCGGGAATCTGCGAGGAGCCCCCGAATCACCATTGTGCTCACCTCCCCTCTCCTCCGCTGCTCTTTTCTGGCTGAGACAAACGAGAGAACGCGCCGGCGTTATAATGCCTCCCCTACTCCATCTCGGCTAAGCTGCCACTGGCTTCACATGAGAAACAATGAAACTTCATTGGAGACCAGATTACAGAAGAGGAGGTGGGGGGGGGGGGGCTTCGGGGTAATTTTTCCTCTAAAAGAGGAGGGGGTGATTGAAATAAAAAAAAAAGCAGGAGCTTTGTTTGCTCCTCTCTGAGGCTATTGTCTTTTGGGAGGTTTTGGGAATCTGCTTCCTTAGCCTAACGGCAGAGTAGAGGAAGATGGGGTACGATGGAGATTCTGGCACCAAGTCACCTTCTTTTCCACATGTTTTATCCTCCTCTTGTTTCTTTTAGTGTTTAAAAAAAGAGCTTAGGCCACAGCATCTCTCTTTACCTCTCTCTGGACCCAGATTGCTTAAATTGGAGGGGATTTGGGATGGATGGAGGAGGCTTAGTGGTAGGTGGGGGTTCAGAGAGTCATCACTGTTACAGTCAAACAGCCATGAAAGCCTACAAGGATGAAGAGCGCCTTTTTATCTAAAACACCCAAATCCCATATAAATACTCTGATATGCTAGATGCAGTATCCATCACTTCCCTCCCCCACCGTCCCATAATAATGGAGTCATGGATGCTTCTATCAGTGTCTTTACTCTTTCAACACGTGGTTCTTTTTTTCCATTTGTTTTAAACTCGGAGACGGAGAATTTGGGTAGGAACTCCAGACATTGAACTGGACACAGTGGCTTTTTAAAATCTGGGATCACTGGAAGCTTTAAGAAGTGAAAGCAATGTGGCTTTGACATTTTGATGTTTCACAGGGGAGAAGAAGCCATTCCTCAGCCATCCGGCCACTGGTGCTCTCTCTAAGAGGCAACAAGAATGAACAAAAAGAACAAATGTGTCTGGAGACTTTATTTGTAGAGAGCAGAGCTAAATGTTTAAAGATCTGTAGTTTTTTTTAAATGAAATGACAAACTGCTATTCTGCTAAACAGCCTTAGAGTGCATTCACAGCAGCCCTGAAAGCTTTAATCAAACTGTAGTTCATTTGTGTAGAAAGTCTGGTTCGTTTGAGGAGGTGTGAATGTGTAATCAGGTTTACACTCCATTCTTCTTGTTTCTAACAAAACAAGAAGAATATTGTTTCAAAATATTTCCAGTGTGTAAAGTGGTAGTAAGTGGAGTTGGCAATGCAATCCCAAACTGAAGAGGATAGACGTTTAATTTCCACGCAGGACACATTTAGACAATAAAACTCAGATGTTCACACTCACCGTGTTGGAGGGTTGTCTGAGGAGAAGGGACCTGTCCCCTTTGGGTCCCTATCTGGTTCTCTGTGACTCAAGCTGGAACCACAAGCAGCACTGGTGCCTCTCTGAAGAACACCTGACAATGAACATGACAACAGAAAACAGCTTAACCCATTGACTGTCACTCTCGAAATGCTTACTGTGAGTCGATGAGGACACTGGTGCCATCATGGAACTGAACCTTGTCCAGTTTTCTCACGTTACAACCACAAACCTCAATGACATTGAAGACAACTATTAGTTTTGCACCTCAGAAATTTGGTCTTTACATTTGAGTGGGAAGAGGAAAAGAGTTGGTGGAAGGAACTTAGAAGATGTCTTGTTTGTATTTGCTGCAAACGATGTAGGGAACACAGCAAGGATGTGGAAGAAATGTTTTAAAGCCCTCACTTCAATCCCACTTCCCAATCACGCATTACCTTACTTTGGGCTTTCACATAAAATCCCATGTGACACATTGCGGCTGTAACATGTGAACAAGTTCAAGAGCTACGAACGCTTTAGTGAGGCACGGTACGTGACAGTGAGCTGCCACTTGGGGAAATTTCTGAATTGAGACAAGAAGTCAAATAGTCATGGAGGATGTGCAAACAAAGCAGCTGGGAAAGGGAGCAGAAACAACCACGTCTTTCCCTCAACGCGCAGCGGAGCTAACAGGCTTTCACTGCATCAACAAAGAGCAGATAGAAAGGCAGAGAGGAGGTGGAGAAGTGGATCTTCAGATAAAGCTCTCGTCTCTGCCCGCTGAAAAGGCCCTGCAGTCACATCAGCCTTTGTGAGGGGGAGACACAACCGTTACAAAACCAAGTTGGCTTTTTCTCTTGGCACTCGAAAGGAATAATACTAAAAAAAAGAAAGAGGGAGAGAGAGACAGAGATGGAGGAGAAGAGAAAAAGGCCTTCTGCCTCTCACAGCGCCGTATCAATCCAGATCAGCACACGTATCAGCCAGACAGCTTTAAGCGATTTCCAATGCCGGTATGAAAAGGAGCATTTCTAAGCTGCGATCCGTGTTCTCTATTGTGCGCTTGTGTGCGTACAAGCGGCGGCGGGAATCTCAGAGGATCGAGATTCACAATGAGCCCGCATGAATGCAAGAGGAGACGCACAGAAGATGTGGCGTCTATCGCTGGCATCCACTTTAAAACAACCGCTCAATTTGGTACCGAGTCAATTTTTTGAAAAATTATCCAAACAAGAAGAATGTTTTTATTTTATTTTTTCTGGTGTTAGATCTTTTAAATGCAAATCATCTCAATTGCATTTTTTTTTTTCAAACTTCAGTGAGACATGATCAGCAGTTTGTATTGTTGCTCTACGAGGTAAGTGCTCCCAACTAGACCAGCAGCTACACCTGACACCTGCAGGAAAACCGCCTCTGGCTACAACTAACATGCAAACTATCTCCATTTGTTCATTTGTTTCGGCCCATCAAACAACTTCTACATGCTTTAAAAAAAAAACATGTTGATCAGAGCTCAAGTGCCCCCACCCCATCCTTTTTTTTTGAAGGTTTCGTCTGATTTAAGCCGCAGCCATGCTTTTTATGAAGACATATGTAAGTAGGAAGCATTTTATGAAGAATTAAAACTGGAGCCAATATGCACACCTCCAAACTGCATTGTGAAGACATTGTTTGTAGGCGGCTTGAAGCACACGAGAAAGGACGAAATATGCATAAAATTTAAAAGTCAAAGTGTGGCTCTCTGCAGCTACATGCTTATGGAGATCATACTTTGAAAACAAGTTAAGATGTTTAAGTAGAAACGAAAAAAAAACGGCACACAGTCTGACAAATTAAGGTAGGAAATTAAACGTGAATGTTCTTGTTTTGCTTGAAGGAAACTTTGTTCATCTGTTGCACCTTCGCGTTCCTCAATTAGTGTCTACATTCCAGTATATGACTCGCATAATAAAGCTGTGTCAAAACATCCTCATGTTTATTTCAGTCAACACGTATGGTTTTCAGACAAAGTATTGACATTTTTCACCTTAAAAAAACTTAAACGTTTCACGTTTTTCCTGTACCTGCTGAAGTAAAGCCTCCCACAGAATAATGGAGCTGCCACCTCCGTGTTTCATCCCAGAGTATGGCACTGTTGTAATAATTTCAACAGACTCCACAGTTGAAATTAGGTCAGAAAGATTAATCCAGAAACAATATTACAGTATTGATTACCTCACAATTCTCCGTTGTCATCAGGCCTTTCGACTGACTATTCTAACCAATGAAGTGCAAAAGTAACATTTAGGAATGTAGATTAAATGTTATTTTTGTGTCCATAACTGCAATAAATAATTGTGTATATATGTCTTCATCACAGGAGATAAACTAATAACTTTAATAATTGCTTTAACTTTAGGTGGAAGTTCAGACGCAGGAGTTAAATGTTTAGCATGAGTCAAGATTTTGGATAGTAGCTGTTAAGGAATTACTTTGTTGGTGTTAAAATCCTTTTTCTACCTGTAAAGCTCAATTACCTTTGATAATTGTCATCCATGCAGCATGGCGATGCACATGGTATCTTGGTGACAGGCTAGTTTAACAAACTCCTAGTCTGGGCAATTCAGTTTGATTCTCATTTCGTTTCACTGCTCAGTCCGAGCTTTCTCCCATTCACCTGGATTCCTTCGATAGAATTTCAGCCGGGCCAATCAGTGAACAGAGGAAGTTGTGAACAATGACATTGTTTTTGAATTATATTTCCCCCTGTAGTTTTATCAATGACAACCAACCAACTGATTAATGAAGTTGCCATCTTGTTCGGATATAGCACTTCTCACTTCGCAGTGAAGGACAGTTGTTTACAGCATAGGCAATTTCCAAAAAGCTTCATAGTGATCGTTTTTCAATAGCTGAGAGCCCAAACCCTGTGTACAAAGCGAAGCACAGAACAAGGGGTTGGTTTTTACCAGGCTAACTACCAATTCAATTTCAAACTTGGTTTGAGTTTTCTATGAGGTGAAAACCAGAGTAGATGTATGTTAGAATGACTCATAAGAGATTTAGTACAAAAAACCCCTCTAAAAATGGAATTGTTTTCTTTCAGAGACCCGAAGAGACACAGATTGAGATTTGCTTATTTTCATCGACTTAAAAAGGTAATTCTACTTTTGGCCTGCCCTCCAGCCCTCCACAGATTATGCTACAAATGCTTAATGTGTGTGCATGTACAAGTGTGTAAAGTGAGACACCTGTTCACTGGAGCCCTCTGCTTGAAGCAGGACACTTATTATTGATGGCCGGCCTTTTAAGCACCGTTAATATGCACGCTTACACACACATAGACACACTACACACACAGCTGATGTGTGTGTAGGTTGAGTGCTGTTCAGTGCATCGACATCCTCCTCGTGATGTAGCACGCTGAGGTTATTTCTGTGTCACTTTGTGTCAAGTGTAAAAATATCTACATCAAATCAGATGATTTCTGGCAAATCCGGTTGTGTTTAATAGTGTAATAACTGCCATCAATAAAAGCAGGTTTTTTCTTGCCAGTTTGTCAAACCTCTCGATCGCTATTTATAGTTTAACAAGGTTTCACTTTGCCCACATTCAGGAGTCCATATTACTTTTATCATCTATTTAAGCTATATCTTTAGCATAAATAGACGACATGTTGTGTCATGTTAGATTTGTATTTTATATGGGGTTGCCATGTAATTGTTGTTGTACACATACCTACTTTAAATAGTATAATCACTAAAATTGGTTGATTTTTTCTTCAGCAGTTCTGATGGGTAATCAGAAAGTGAAATACTAAAACATGTCAGATTCATTAAATGCATCAAAACTAAGAACTCCCAATAGACAGCTCAGTCCTAAAAGACAAATGGAAATCTAGTTGCATCTCACACACCACAGCAAATAAAACAATACAGTCTTATTTTTTTAACAATAAAACATGACACTCTAGAAATCTGGCTGCAGCAAACAAAAAGAGAAAAAATAAAATTTTGAATTACATTTTTTTATATAATTTACATTAAAATTATCATCATTTGTTCAATAAAATCCCCAGAAGCGACGTTTGTTTCCAGCAATATGCTTCATATAATGTGTTGGATCCTACAGTTTGTGTATAAAAATGCATCCCAAGTTTGAAGCAAATTGAAAATTGCTTCATTTTTTTACAGAAGACAAAAAGCATAGATGTACATAACTTGCAAATATAAAGTGTGAAAAGGGAATGAGCAGATAATTTTAATAGCTGCTTGTGAAAATGCTTAGTTTATCATTCCATGAGGAGTAAAATTATGTTTTTTTAAAACTGAACAAATGATTATTTCCAAGATTGACCGTGAATTCAAGAATAATTTAAGACCTAAAATCCTTTTTTATATTTAAACATTTACATAATATTTTCATATATATATATATATATATATATATATATATATATATATATTTAGATAGATAGACACATCAGATCTTCCATTTCCTAGCCTCTCACCTGTGTCCCTTCCTCACTTCTACACGGTGCTGCTGTCCAAGGATAGGACACGCTGCAGGTGATTGAGGTAAATCATCGAGGACATAATTAAGGGAGCTTATGAAGGAGGGGGGCGTGTGCATGTTAAGCATCACATTAGGAATAATTAAAAAAAAAAGGGAAAATAGATGCAAACAGGCCTCAGAGTTACACAAATGCTCATTTTCATTCCCAGCCACGCAGACGAGACGGCCAGCCTCGGGTGTTTGACCTTATACAGTGGAGTTAAATACCTCATCAGTGAACACACAAACATGCCCGCGCAGCCCTTCTGCTGCGCTTTTAAGCATCAATGAAGGACTCAACCGACATGTTCATCTAGTTCCCCTCACAAATGTGAATGTTTTTCTGCCTAGCCGACGGCCCTTGTAGCCTCTGTGTGGACTGAGCGTGTGTGTGTGTGTGTGTGTATGTGTGTGTATGTGTGTGTATGTGTGTGTGGTTGTGAGAATGGGTTTGTAATCAGGAACTCAGCTTGATCCCCTCTGGTATGTGCTTTTGGGAGTGTTTGTCAAAGGCCAGCAGCATAGACTGAAAAAAAAAAAGAAACCTGGGCATTGGTTGAGTTTTTCTCCCATGCTGGGCTACCCAGAAAACCTTTCATTTTACGTCTGAACGTAGAGTCTTTATCTAGATTTTAAACTATGATAGTTTTTATTAAAAGTTACCCTGACCTACGCAGTTATAACCTCAGTTCAGCTCTTCTTTTGGGGTTTCTCCCATTGAAGTGGATTTCTCCGGTATAATTTTGACCGGTCCAATCAGCAAACAGATGGACAAGTTGTGAACATGACTAATTGTAGACTGGGTGTAGTTCTAGAAAAGGCAGCAGAGGAAGTGAACAAAGCTGTTCAGATCTTGTTGGAAATACTTCCAACTATTGAACTAACACTAATAGCCATCTTGTTCAGATATTGCACTTCTCTTTTTGCAGTGGGGGATTGTTATTTATGCTTCATAGCATCAAACTGCCACATTACAAAAGTTACGGCTAAACATTAGTAACTGGGTAAAATTTAAAACCTCAACAGACTCTAGGAAGGGATCATTTCTTGATAGCCAAGAGGCCGGAGCCTCTGTACGAAGCAAAGTGTAAAAGGGCTGGATTTTATCAGGCTAGCTAAAGGTGTGAGAAAACGAAAAGGGAAGGCAAGTCAACCTGTTGTCCATGTTTCGTTCCACATCTCTCAGTCAAACTTGATCTGATTTGATTCCTTTCTATGCTTTTAAAGGAGGGTTTGAGGCTGAGAAAATATCTCAGGTGCATCACCAGAGCTGAGCTGCCGAGTTTATCAACATGTAAGGAGGAATAATGGGCTGCATTTTCTTTATTTGGGCTTGGACAAGTGATTATTTTTCTTACCGTTGCCTGCGATGGCCCGGGCTTCGATTTCATTAGCTTTCCTCTTGGCCACGTCCGCGAGCACCACCTCGCCCTTATCACCGGCGACATAATGGAGGTCCTTTGAAGGTAATGCGGGAAAGAAAGAAACGTGAACGTTAATCTAAAATGAATCTGGGCTCAGATGACAATAGTTTTTTTTTAATAGAGGGGTGGTCGCGGTATTTTGGCAGGAGGAGGAAGAAACAGATGAAATGAGGAGTAGAAAAAAACGGAGCCGTTTGAAGTCCGACATCAGAAACGGCACCGGTTCGAATGAAATGCCGCTTCCTCAAAAAAAAAGAAAGAAAGAAAAAAACTTTGAAATCAGCCTTCTTGCTGCCTGCGCCCCAAACTGCACACACACACCCACACACACACACACATACACCCACACACACTTGTCTCTGGTTTTTAAACAGGGCTGGATGTTATCTGGCACATTTCAAAAGTGGGAGAGGGACTGTTCACCTTCTCATATTCTCCTTTTACACGGAAACACATCCAGCCGAGCATATTATTATATCAGCCAGTCACAATATTGGAAACAGCATGTATCCTCTGTATCTCTGCTTGAGCCTCAAATGCTCATAAAAAGAGATAATATGGCAATACATTCATTATTAACCCCTGAGCATCTGACTTCTGCTGCTCGGTTAAGACGTAAGCCATCTTCTGCTCAAATATGTCCTAAATAATAATAATAATACAAGATGATTTCATTGATATACTGCTGAGGGACATTATTTTTGCTATAAAAATTGTTGATATGCTCTGAATGTTGTGGCTCTGAGCTTCAATTTGCAGATTTAAGTAATACAATAATCAGTTTTGGGCACATTTCTGCATTAATTATCTGGTCTTACAAGGTAAATAGGAAAACATTTTGAATGTAAACAGCCGTCAGTAGAGAATATACAGAGTAATGCTTTGTCATTCTATTTAATTAAATTTTAATTATTTGGCAACAATTATAATCAATGTCCCCTACATTTAGTACTACTCAATGTAGGCTAAAAAGCCATGAATTCAGTAAAGAGTATCACAGAACCTCCACCGTATGTTAACACTGGACATGAGGTTCAGTTTCAAAATAATTTCTTTCTTTGGTTGACGCTAAACCAACCTGAAAAGTTTGGTCATAGTGGCATTGGGTTGATGCAAGAAATTCCAGTTAAAGCTGCAGTAGCATTCAGCAAACTCTCCATGTTTAAGCTTGTGGTGTCAGAATAGAAAAGCTGTTTTTCTGTAGATACTGTCTACAAGCCAAGTACACATAGCATCTGAATTTTTTGCCCATGTGTGATCCACAGCTGAGTTTTTCATGGCAGTGTGAACAGTCCTGCTCCAATCTTTTAGCCCCTCTTCCCCTCACAAAACATGATTTGTACCACCTCCATATGTGGCACTAATTTGCGTAAGTACCAAATAGTTTTAAAAACATCTGCAGACTGAACGGTCATGTCATTTCATCCAACTTTTACAATTCGATCAATAATTGGTTAGCAAAAAGTTGTTTTATAGGAGATGTTTTGTTTTTTACAGAACTTGAACCAGGTGAAGGTAAAACTATGCCACTTTAGGAGTTTTGGGTTTGAACATATTTACAATTTTTTTTATCTTAAATGTAAAGTAGTACAGTAAACAATTAATTGATTACTAAATGAGTTCTTTCTTTCCATAATTGTCAATAATCGATTCATCGCGATGAATCAGATTATTTGTTTCAGCCCACTTTTAGCCCCTTATATTATTGTAAAAAAAAAAAAAAAAAAAAAAAAAAACATATATTAGGAGTACCGCAAGAATGTTATGTCTGCATCTACAGTGTAAAAAATGCTCATCTGGAAACCCAACAAGTGGCTCCTGAGGCCCGCAGGGTTTCCCCAGGCAGAACGCAGGGACTGAGGGCCCATCAAAGTGTACAGCGCGTTAAGCAAAGTCTTCCGCTTCAGCAACATCACAGGACATCAGCGCTGTGACTCAGGGCTCGTCATGGATAACCCTCAGCTGGCTAAAGCCAGCCCCCAGCTGAGCCAGCACCCAGACTTAATACCCTCATATTGTAACCCGGCTTTTGTAGCCCACCCCCTCACCCACACCATTTCCAATGACAAAAAAAAAAAAAAAAAAAAAAAAAACCGAGGGGGGTGCCGGTTCCCAAAAGAGAGAGGGAGAGCAAAGGAGAATGAGAGAGGGTGAGGTGCTGAAATTGAGGAGTGTGAATAGGAACAGATTGGGTAATTATAGTGTGGTGCCTGCCCTCTGTGGAGGAGAGTTAGTCGGAAATGTGAAAATGGACGACAACAAAATGGCCTCAAAGGGGCCTAAATCGGCTCCCAGGACTAAGGTGACAGATTCGGCCTTTACAAACGAGGACATGGCCCCACAATTAGATATGACCGAGGTGCTTAATTGATAACAAACAGAGCAGCGGATGACAGAACCAAGGAGGTGGGACGTGGAAAAAGAGAGAGGAAGGCAGGAAAAATAAAAGATAAATAGTAAAAAAATACGAGAGGATGAGACGGTGTGACAGACAGATCAGAACAATATGAACATTTGATGCTGAGGCGCTTTATTCCAGATTAGCCCCTCATAATACTGTCTGAATCTGTAGAAAGAGACCCTGCGAAAGAATCAGTGAGTGAACAAACGCAAAATGAGAAAGAGAGAGAGAGTAGTATCAGCCAGACTAAGAGGGGATAACAATAATACTGCATATAAAACCATCAGATATTACACCTCTTATTCCCCGACGCTCAAACGCGACACTAATCTTATTTATATAAGAGCTTTAGGGGTTGCAGCGAGCCAGCTAACTGCGCTGATAAAGAGGGGCGTTTTACTGGGCTGTTTTTTTTTTTTTTTAAAGGGAGCAGAGGGGAGGGGAGAACACCGGCGGACGCTAAGAACCCGATACTGACTGATATTTGGGTTTCCTGCAAATAAATCAGGGATTAGGTGAAGAGCAACTTTTTTTTTCCAGCACATTAAGAGACTGACTTGTGTTTGTATGAAGTCTGACCTGACCGGGGCGGGTTTCTGTCGCACTAGATAGACGGGGAAGGATGGGAACATGCGTCTGTTGTGGGGGACATAAATGCAGTGAATGAAGTGAATGAATGAAACCAGACCACATTCATTTGTTAGAGTGGACTAGTGAAAGTCCAGACCTAAATTCAATGAGAATTTGTGATAAGATTTGAAAATCGATGTTCACGTCCGATTTGACTGAGCTTGAGCAGTTTTGCAGCTGTATTCTAACGTCAGTGTCAACGAAAGGTTGATCAACAAAGTATTCACAGAGGAGGGTTGAAAACAAATCAAAGTTTATCTTTACAGACATAAAATTCCTAAAAACTGAGATTTGCAGTTGTGAAGTGAAAATGCATGAGAAAATGTAAACAAAATGTAGGCAGAATTTTGCAAGGCACTGAAAGCCGGACACTAAATATAAAATTTCTTCCAATCACCACATGAAGTATGATTGTCTTAAGACAAATCAGCATGTTTTGTTTTAAATTTAACATTTTGATTACCTGTATTTGTTTAAGTTACAATTGTAAAATACGTTTTCTGATACTATATTTGGTATTTTCCAAGTAAAGAAGAAATTCTCAGAAAGACTCCAGGAGATAGTCATTTGAAAAGTTTACTCCTTTGATAAGTTTGTAAAACTGTCATACATCTGTGAGCAACAGATCATTTATAAAAGTGTGAAATCTGAAAATTTCAGGGATTAGTGAATGAGTAGTCTGGGCAAAGCCTTCTGAGGACCTGGCAGCCGATCCTGTTGATTTACTTCAGAGGTACACTCATTGCATGAACCAAAACAATATATATATATAGTTTATTTATTTATTTATTTATAATTATCTGTCCTACTTTATCTTTGGCAACACCAAAAATACTTTATTAACAATCAGTCTCACAGACTCAAATTAAAGCAGTATAGCATTTTTATTTTAGGTTTTGTTAAAGCGATGAGGGGTGCAATTTCCCGTCAGCATTTGCCAACTATACTGGCAGCCACACGCAGGCGGAAATATGCTAACATCTTGAGAAATCAACATAATTAGTTTCACACTTGTCTCACGACACAAATAACACCCCAAAGTCTTGTGTTAGAGAGGCGTCGAGAGTTTCAAAAGGGCTAATTAATCACGCGAGAGACAACTGTGAGTTTATTGCCAAAGACGCAGCAGCGACATCTCCGCCCCTTCGCCTTCCCTCAGTGTTGCCAGCGATGATAGATAGGAGGGGAAGACAACAGCTTCGCTTCAGGATGTCTGCAGCGATACTGTACGAGGCCTCATTCGGAAACAGACGAGCTGGCGCTCAATTCAGCTATCAAAAAAATTTGATTTAATTAGCAAGCTCTATCAAGACCTATTGATAGAGGCGTAGAAAAAAAAAGGGAGGGAGGTGTCGTGGGCTCGACTTGGCTGACGAATGACCTAATTGGTTACATTATCAACTCATTATCAAAGGCTAATTAGGGAGTTACAGAAGAGCACCAATAATGAAAGAAAGAGAAAAAAAAAAACGAGCCAACCAATCAGTAACCTCCCCCAACAGTTCCTCCTCCCCCCCAATTTAACCCAACACTAAGTGTTTCATTTTAACAAAAGCTTTCTATTTTTCTTTTTACGGAGGGGTAGGGGGCTTTGAAGGACCTCTATTGTTAGCTGGGAAACAATGGAGGGTCGTGTCATGGTGGGGAGGAGGGTGTCATGCTGAGCATTTCTGGAGGAGGTGATGGCTTCCATGTTATCTGCGAGTCCATTCTATAAAATCGATGGCGCGTTATTGAGTTCTGCGGGCAAGTTAGTAAGTTACAAAGAGTTTGGTGAGTGCGAGGGGGGGGGAGGGGTTGCCCTCATTAACCTGCTCTGCCTTGGCCCAATCAGCCAAGCAGCAGGTTAGAGCAACAACACAACCTAATTAGGCCGAAGGACAGGGCGAGGGGTGAAATGTCAATGTGCCCCCTTGTCCTTTTTCTTTCTCGACTCTCTTTCACTCTTTGCAGACAATGAGCTGCTGCTCTCTTGGTCGCTGAGGCTAAAAAAAAAAAGTGCT